TGGTGAAGATACTGTTGGTCTGGGGATTGCACTTTGAGAACCACTGATTTAGCCAAGAGGCTTTGGTATTAGATATAGCCATGTTAAATCCTGGCTCTGCCTTTTATTGGATGTGCTACCCGGGCAAGTCACTTCACCTCCCAGAGCTTCAGTATCTCCATTTGTAAAATGAAGTTTTACAAATATATATAATACAGTGCCAACCCTTTAGAGTTGTGGTGAGGATTAAATGAGATAATACATGGAAAGCATTTGGAATAATCCCTAAGTCACAATAAACTCTCAAAAAGTGGTGGTTATAATTATTACGAATATTATCATTATATCCTACAAGATTATCCTGGCAGCTAATTAAGGAGCAAAAGAGGATTAAGAGAGGCAAGTAGATCCCTTATTTTTAACCTGGAAAGGGGTGTAGGGCTCTTGCGTGTAGACTCAGAAACTCGAGATAAATGAGAGGGCGTTTTTGACTTCTCTTCTCTCTGCAGAATATCTGCAGGAAATGCTACAGAGGCAACCTCGTCTCCATCCACAGCCACAGCCTCAACAGTCACATTCTGCATTTCACTAGAAGTCTCAATCAGGCCCAGGTCTGGATTGGAGGCTTCCTCAGGGGCTGGGTAAGTAAAGGGTCAACTCCCAGGCACAGGAAGTTTTTTCTGATTGTCTTAAGGGAGGACCTGCTGGTGCCAAGCCTCAGCCCAGCAGCTAAGGTGTCCTTAGAGTGGGAGGCAATGACGTGCTCGAGCTGCCTTGCACTGGCTTTGTGGAACTGACGGCGCACATCTCTTCCCAACTCCCTGTTCAGTGACTACATGCCTGTGGCTTGAAATCAGGCACGGTGGGAGTATTTACACCAAAGAAATTGGCAATTGCTACAAACCAGGGCTCCTTCCTACTCCCCATCTTCTTACCCTCTCCCCCAGAGCTGGTTTTTAAATACCACTGGAGTCAGGAGACAGATTCCAGACCCAGGTTGGTCACTTACTACCTGAATAACTTTCTCTCTCTGAGTCTCAGTTTCTTCATCTCTGAAATGGGAACCTTTTTCTCTCAGGGTGGCTCTGAAATTGTGGCTGAATAAGTGCCATCATATTTGGAACTCAAAGTGTGGTCCATGGGCCAGCAGTATCAGTATTACTGGTAGCTTGTTAGAAACGAAGACTCTGGCCAGGCACAGTGGCTTATGCCTATAATCCCAGCACTTTGGGAGGCCAAGGCAGGAGGATCGCTTGAGCCCAAAAGTTTGAGACCAGCCTGGGCAACACAGTGAGACCTCATTTCTACAGAAAAAAACCCCAATTAGGTGAGTGTGGTGGCACACATCTGTAGTCCTAGGTACTCAGAAGGCTGAAGCAGGAGGATGGCTTGAGCCCAGAAGTTTGAGGCTGCAGTTTGCTATGATTAAGCCAATCCACTCCAGCCTGGGTGACAGAGACCCTGTCTTTAAAAAAAAAAAAAAAAAAGGCATAATCGTAATCTTGGGCTCCGCCCCAGACCTCTTGAATCAATTTGCATTTTAACAAGATCCCCAGGAAATGTGCACGAACAGTGAAGTCTGAGAAGCCTACTGTGTCTGGCGGCTGGGAGAGATGGGTTGCTCTTCCATTGGCATTGCCTGCAAACCCTCAGGGATGGGTCTTGACGGTATCTGGTTCCTGGCCAGGTGGGCAGCGAGGGAAGTCAGCACTGGGTGTTGTCTGGGGCCCTGGGTCTGCCTGTCTTCCTGGACCTCTGCCCTCTGACCTTGCCTGTCACTTCTCTAGAGGCTGTGTAAGCGGTATCGCTGGACTGATGGGAGCCACTGGAATTTTGCATACTGGGCCCCAGGGCAGCCCAGGAGAGGGGGAGGCCACTGTGTAGCCCTGTGTACCAAAGGTGAGGGGGAAGGGCACCAGGGCAAGGAGAAGGGGTGGGTGGACTCACTACTGTCCCTTTGAGCTGCCTGAACGTAGCTCCTCAGACTCACACCCTCCCCCACCATGGGAGAACCAAAGCCCTGTCTGTGAGGAGGGCTGAGATATAGGGATTCCTCAAGCAAAACCAGGAGATGGGGGTGCCCTGGAGGGGGCTGGATGGGGGCTCCTTCACCACCTCTGATATGAGGGTGACGAAGTCTAGTGACGGATGTGACAAATGAGAGCAGTAGATGTGAATATAAGGTGTGGATGAGGGAGAAGAAAGGATGTGGGAATTAGGGGTGGCTGAGAGACAAGACACCAGCTTCGAACGGCAGATGTGGGCAACAGCATGGATGCCAGATGTGAGGGAGTTTAGTGTAGTGGCTAAGACGGTATGTGCTGAAGCAAGACCGTGGCCATCTGCATACAGCGCGGCCACTTGCCAGCTGAGATGCTGAGATACAGGCAAGTTATTTATCTCCACGAAGCCTCAGTTTCCTCATCTGTGAAATGGAGCGGATGATAGCATGCACGTCTTGGCATCATGCCACAGTCCATCTAAAAAAGTACTGAGCACACCGCCTGGCTTGAACGAAGAGCTCAACAAATGTTAGCTAGCAGGGATGTGCGGGAAGTACACAGCTGGCAGATAATGACAATGGCATAGAAGGGGACACAACAGGTGCCCGAGGAGGGAAAGAGGTGGGGCACACGCCAGACCCAGCCCGGCAGCTGACCTCACCGTGCTGTCTGCCGCTAGGGGGTGGCTGGCGACGAGCGCGATGCTGCCGGCGCCTGCCCTTCGTCTGCTCCGCCTGAGCCAGCGCACCGAGAGCCTGCCCGGGAGCCTCCTCTTCACACCTCTGGTGCGGCCGCCCCGCCCGCGCCTCGGCATGGACCCCGTCCCCAGCCTCTCCTGGTCATGAATGCAGACTTCCCACAGCATTGCCTGACTGTCGTCTCTCTTTTGCTCGTTTTGGGGTGCGCCCCAGGTCGGGGAAAAT